AGAAAAACATTGGGATTTTCATCTGTGGGTTAAGTCCGGTTGACAGATCATCGTGTGTCTATGTATATATGTATTCGCATATGGAATAAAATGAAGCAGTAACTAATTCAAAAACAACTCTCACACTGCACAGGATTTCCACCTGGGGTAGATTTTGGTCACATGCTAGGCAACGCTTTTTCAAGAACGCTGTGGCTACATGTCCAGCAGCCGGACAGGTTTCTTAAAATACTCCGTGTCCGGCAGTGAGACTTTTTTTAAAGTAAAACAACGTAAAATGAAAGTTATGATAGGTGACCCAAAGAGGAATCGAACCCGGGTCAACGGTCTGGTAAGCGATACTGATGACCAGTGCGCCACCGCAACCGGCCAGCAATTTTCGGAATTTTTTAAGTATTTATTGAGTTACCCTTAGCATTATTGAAAGCTAACCGTAAACAGGCTAACCGCAGAGCTACATGTATTCAGGCTAACCGGAGTGCTATTCAGGCTAACCGGAGTGCTTTTTAGGCTAACTGGAGTGCTGTTCAAATGTTCTGACTGCCGGTCATTTTATAATAGTCTACATTATAAATCCCGATATACCGCATGCCGGGCTCACCAAAATTAGTATACAGCCATGTAAACAAGGATTTGACATTATTAACTGAAATTTTTAAAAAATAATTTTGACTGCCGGACATGGAGTATTTGAAAATCCTGTCCGGCTGCTGGACATAGAGACACAGCGTTTCAAGAAACAGATCAAATTTCATTTTTCTCAGTTCAAAACAATGTTTTCGGATAGAGAACATTCGCTTCTGAGCTAGTAATGACGAATCTTCAAAGGCTTTTTAAACTCAAAGAAGGATAACTGATGTTTAAAAATTAATTGAAAATCTCAACCGAAATATTGTGTTTTGCTGTTGTTTCATGTTCGTCAAGCCTCAGTTRGTCAGTCGCTGGCGCCCTTGTTGTTTCTCATGAAAAGAAAAAAAAAACACGATGGGAAAAGCTTTTGAACACCGGTTAACTCCGAACGCTTCGGAGTATGAAATATTTTTAATGAATCTTCGGATTGATTTAAAGTACACTGATTGCTGTAATTTAAAATTGAAAGCGA